ATATAGCCAAGCAGGGAATCAGAATTGGAAATAGAGTTGCCCACAGTGGAATCAGGTGAAATAGATTGAGAGTTGCTCATAATGGTCTAGAAAAAAGAAAAAAGAAGAGGACCTTGCAAACTAGAGGGCTTATTAGTGACCCAAATTTTTCCTAGGGCATCTCCCTGGAAAAATTCTTGGCCCAGACTGAGGTCTCTGGGAGCATCCCCTCTTTAAGCCTCAGACTTAGTCTGTCAGATGGCTCTGACCTTAGAAAGGTGCCAGCACCACTATAGAATGGTTCCCTCCACCACTGATGACCTACTATGAGTTTTTTTTTTTTTTTTAATTTTTTTTTTAGACAGAGTCTCACTCTGTTGCCCAGGCTGGAGTGCAGTGGCATGATCCCGGCTCACTGCAACCTCTGCCTCCTGAATTCAAGTGATTCTCCTGCCTCAGCCTCCTGAGTAGCTGGTATTACAGGTGCGTGCCACAATGCAAGGCTAATTTTTTTGTATTTTTAGTTGGTCAGGCAGGTCTCAAACCCCTGACCTCATGATCCGCCCGCCTTGGCGTCCCAAAGTGCTGGGATTACAGGCATGAGCCACTGCACCCGGCCTACTATGAGCTTTTTTTAAGGCTTATCTATCCCATTTAAAGCAACCCTTTCTCTCTCTCAACTTAGGCAATAATACATTTTCTTTCATAAAATCCCCCCTCCATCACGCACCTCACAGACCACCTGCAACATGCTTGGACCCTCTGACTTATATAACCTTTTTGCATAGCTAGGTGGGTTTTCTGTCCATAGCTAGTTGAGTGGGGGAAGGGAAGAATCTAGCATAAGAAAAGAAGGTTTCAGTCACCTCAAATGTGTGAGTTCACCCTGGGCAAACTGCCACTGCCAACTGTGTCACATGTAGGGATCAGGGACTATAACCAGAAAGGACAGAAAATCTTTCCCCCTTCTGGGCAGGACAGCCAGCCTGTTTGCCCCTTGGCCTTCCGAGAACATCAGAGAGTGGCTCTGGCTAGTTCCACTCAATTACCAACAGCTACTAGAAAATGGCTGCTGAAAGACTGAAAAAGGAGAAAAGGAAAAGATCTCAGAAAACAGACAAAAACAATAGGACTCAGAAAAAGGAAAAAAAAAAAAAAAAAAGGTCTCAGGTCCCTCACCCAGACTGAGAGGTGGCAGTCAGGCGCTTCCACATGGAAACCTTTCAGTTTCATCAAAAAGTGGCCCTGGCCAGAAACTTGCCGTTGTCTTCATGCTTAGGCACTGTCCACCAAGGGTCCTGAGTAGGAAAGGAAAAGAGAGAGAGAGAGAGAGAGAGAGAAAGAGAGAAAGAAAAAGACTTCTCTGTATGTAAAAGGAGAAAGGAAAAAATTAAGTCCCATACTTTGGGCCTACCTCCTCTCCTGCCTGGCTCACCAAAATAAGTTACCAGTAGAAGGTCTTGACTGCAGGTTATCCAGGTTCTTGGCCTTTTGAACAAAGAATTGGATGAAACAGCAAAGCAAGAAAAGAATGAAGCAACAAAGGAACAAAACGGGTTTATTGAAAATGAAATTATACTCTGCAGTGTGAAAGTAGGCCCGAACAATGGCTTAAGGTCCCAGACACAGAATTTTCTTGGGTTCAAATATCCCCTAGAGGTTTCCCATTGGCCACTTGGTGCTCACCTCATGTAAATGAAGTGGTGGCCCACAATTGCTCTGATTAGTTGCAGAAAGCAACCAATCAGAGGCTGAAGCGAAGTTACAAAGGTCGCAGTCCTCTGCAAATATCCGATTGGTTGCAAAAACAACCAATCAGAGGCCAAGGTGAAGTTACAAAGTGTCAGTTTTATTCAAATAGAGACTCAGCCCACAATCAGTCTGATTGGTTGTGGACAGCCAATTTCCTATCTGCCTCACGGAAAAGGTGGGGATTTGCAAAGGCAATCCTCTGGTCTTTTTGTTACTTAGGCATGGAAAGTTAGTTTTCCTTTCCATTTAGGTCTAGGAATTCGGTATGAAATGGTCTTAGGTTCCCTGCCTCCAGACCCTATTCTCCTGCCTCATTAGTACATGTGTACCTCATGGTTTCCAAATGCAGACTTATTTAGACGTTGCTGCTTTCTGCTTATTCTGTAAACTTTAAAGAGCCAGCAAAGAATATGAAAATTGGTAGTCTTCATTTGAGAAATATTTGTGTTGTGACAAGAGTGCTGAGTGTAAGGGACTCCATGCTGTGCCTGCTTTCTCTAATGCTAATACATGAGCCCCAGAGGAGCAATGTCAGCATTGATAGGGAACATTAATGGGTTTAAAGTACCCATTAATGGCTGACTGCTGTGGCTCATGCCTGTAATCCCAGCACTTTGGGAGGCCAAGTTGGGTGAATCAGTAGAGGTCTGGAGTTTGAGATCATCCTGACTGGTGAAACTCTGCCTCTACTAAAAATACACAAAAAATTAGCTGCTTGTGGTGGCAGGCACCTATGTAATCCCAGCTACTCAGAAGGCTGAGGCAGGAGAATCACTTGAACCCAGGGGACGGAGGTTGCAGTGAGTCGAGAGCCTGCCACTGCACTCCATCCTGCACTACAGAGCGACACTCCGTCACACACACACACACACACACAAAACCCAAAAAACAAAAAAAAAAAACAAAAAAAATTCATGAACGCTAAGTCTGCAGAATTACATCACAGAGAGTGGGGCCATAGTTTCCAAGTATTTTTTAAGCTCATTAAAGCTTTAAAGGCAATGCCCAGCTAAGTGGTTTTCAGCCCAGGTTTGATTTTTTTTTTTTTTTTTTTTTTGAGGCGGAGTCTCATTCTGTGCCCAGACTGGAGTGCAGTGGTGCGATTTCAGCTCACTGCAACCTCCACCTCCTGGGTTCAAGTGATTCTCCTGCCTCAGCCTCCTGAGTACCTGGGATTATAAGCAAGGACCACCACGCTTGGCTAATTTTTGTATTTTGGGTAGAGACGGGGTTTCACCATGTTGGCCAGGCTGGTCAAGAACTTCTGACCTCAAGTGATTCCCCACCCCCCAGCCTTGGCCTCCCAAAGTGCTGGGATTACAGGTGTGAGCCACCATGCCCAGCCCAGGTTTCTAATTAAGATTACATGGCCATGGCCAATTTGCAGAAATACCTACTTGTGCCCTATCCATGGGTCTGTTTATTCTTCTGGGCGGAGGTATCATGTTTTGTTTTTTGTTTTTGAGATGGAATCTCACTGTGTTGCTCAGGCTGGAGTACAGTGGTCCGACCTCCAGTCACTGCAACATTCGCCTGCCATGTTTAAGCGATTCTCATGCCTCTGCCTTCCAAGTAGCTGAGATTACTGGTGCATACCATTATGCCTGGCTAATTTGTGTGTTTTTAGTAGAGATGGGGTTTTGCCATGTTGGCCAGGTTGTTCTCAAACTCCTGGCCTCAAGTGATCTGCCCACCTCGGCCTCCCAAAGTGCCGCGATTACAAGTGTGAGCCACTGTTCCCACCCACGTTGTTTTAATTAAGTGCCTCGTGTGACTCTAACGTGAGCCCAAAATCAAGTATGAGGGGTTCAAGATACATTCATGAGAGTTAAGTTCCACCTTTGCTCTAAAGAATGGTCAAAGGGCTGGTTCTGTTTGGTTTGGTATGACAGAAAAGTGTGGCTCGTATTTTCATTGCTGTAGCAGAAATTGCTGGTGTCCATGGCAGGGCAGGGCACCTGAGGACAGAAGGAAAGAAACTTTTACTTTTATCTCCATGGAGCAGCTCATGGTTCCTGAATCTCTTGTGGTATGAAGGACAGAAATGGGTGGACTTTTTCAGTTAGTCTTGGTCCTTCTGCCTGTGGGTATGATAGGAGCAGGTAAACATGTGGTACTGATACCTTTAAAGGCATATTCTAAAGATGCAGGTGTAATTTGTCCAGAGAATCACATCTGAAAAGAATTTTCAGAGAAAGGAAAAAATGGCTTTTTTTCAGTTAAACATGTCTCAGATCAAGAGCTATGTCCGCTCTGCCTCCTGGAATGCCATGCGTTTACTTTGACTTCTCTACTTGTGTTTTTTCTCCCTAATGAGTTTGTTTTAACTACTTCTAAAAACTCTTATGATAGTCAAGACTCTGAAAAATATTTCTTTTCTATATACCAGAGCCTTCTCTACATCATGGCTTCTTATATGCCATGCAGAATTCTCACCATTATTTTATGATCTGCAATATTAAAAATGTTGCCTGTGGCTGTTGAACATGGGAAGGTGTAGATACTCAAGATTCCTATTGGGAAAACCTGGGGTCCTTAGTAAAAATGGGGAACATCTAATGTTGAGGTTCCATCTGTGTTCTCAATTAACTATTATTTAAACAAGATAGCGTTTATTACACAGAAGCTTCTGAAGCACTCGAAAAGGTACATGTTTGTGTTTATGTCCTTAATTATATATATATTGTTTGTTGTTTTTTTGTTTTTTTGTTTGAGACGGAGTCTCACTCTTGTTGCCCATGCTGGAGTGCAATGGCACGATCTCAGCTCACTGCAACTTCCACTCACCACAGCCTCCACCTCCCAGGTTCAAGCAATTCTCATGATTTGCCTGCCTCCGCCTCCTGAATAGCTGGGATTACACACATGCGCCACCACGCCTGGCTAATTTTGTATTTTTAGTAGAGGTGGGGTTTCTCCATGTTGGTCAAGTGGGTCTTGGAACTCCCGACCTCAGGTGATCCGCCTGCCTCGGCCTCCCAAAGTGCTGGGTTTACAGGCATGAGCCATTGTGCATGACCTATTGTATATATTATTATCCATAAAATTATTATACATGCACTGGTGTTGTGGCTCTTTTGCCACTGTTTTCTCAGGGTTAGAGAACACGTAAGGAAATATTTCTGTGTAAAAAAATTGATTTTATTGGATAATTTCAGTCACTCCTGTAAATCAGAAGCAGTTCTCATTACTCTCTCATTTTACCTTGAGTCAAATTATAATCTCTGTTGGCTACCTCGTGAATATGTTTGTGTGTATGTGTTTTTCAGGGACTGTTGACATTTAGGGATGTGGCCGTAGAATTCTCTCTGGAAGAGTGGCAATGCCTGGACACTGCACAGCGGAATTTATATAAAAATGTGATTTTAGAGAACTACAGAAACCTGGTCTTCCTGGGTAAGGATAACTTCAACACACAGTTTCTTTTTGTTTTTCTTTTGAGATGGAGTCTGGCTCTGTCGCCAGGCTAGAGTGCAGTGGTGTGATCTTGGCTCACTGCAACCTCTGCCTCCTGGGTTCAAGCGATTCTCGTGTCTCAGCCTTCCAAGTAGCTGGGACTACAGACGTGAGCCACCATGGCTGGCTAATTTTTTTTGTATTTTTGGTAGATACACGGTTTCACCATGTTGGCCAGGCTGGTATCGAACTCCTGACCTCAGGTTAACTACTCGCCTTGGCCTCCCAAAGTGCTAGGATTACTGGTGTGAGCCACCATGCCTGTCCCAACACACAATTTCTAATATACCGTAAAGGTTTCATTTCTCTTCTTTGTAGAATGTGTTTTGGTAATGTATGCTTTGAATAAATGAGTTTCAGATCCCTGTTTTTGAGAAAATCTTAAGGATTTGTCTGTATTGAGAAGAATTTCTTCAGTATGTTTCATCGTGATCTGAACTTACCACATTCCTGAGCTGATCTGTGTCCTTCACTCTAGATTAGTGGTAATTTCAGAAGTTTAGTGGCATAAAACATTGTTGCCCACACCTTAAAATCTAATTGCCAACACAAAGTTTTGATTCATAAGTACTGGGTAATGAAATTAAGAACCTGCAAATTTAGAATATTTTCTAAGTATTTAAAAATTTCTCTTATAAGTCAGTATTTGGGGATTAATTTGCTATTCTATTACATTCTCTTTACTGAGCACATTACTAGGTTGGTAATTGAAGAATATGAGCAAGATTCATGTTATTTATTTTTTAATAAAACAGGTATTGCTGTTTCTAAGCCAGACCTGATCACCTGTCTGGAGCAAGAAAAAGAGCCTTTAACTATGCAGAGACATGAGATGGTAGATGAACCCCCAGGTAAGTGAGAGTGAAAGTGAATACAACAGGTGACAAAGATGAGAGGTCCAAAGGTCAAAGAGAAAACCAGTCCTTAAAATGTGATTTGGGAAGCTGTGTTTTAAAGGAAATAGTTTCTGGAAAGCCTGAGTATTTTTTACGCTCACATTTGAGCATTTTCTGTCTTATGCTTTTAAATTCTCTAAGGTTTCTATTTACATTTTTAGTAATTTCCCTTCAAGTTTTCAGTGAGAACCAATGTCCTCTTCATGGCATATAAGAGACTGCACAATCTGAATCCTTACTCATTTGTTTTGGAGACACAGAAATATCTGCATAATTTTGAGAAACTCTATTAAATGATTTTTTAAGTTCTTTTTTCCCATCATGTCTGAAACATGTGAGAAGTGTTTTCTATTGTTTTCTTTTCTTCTTCTTCTTTTTTTTTTTTTTTTTTGAGACAGAGTCTTGCTGTCTTACTCTGTGGCCCAGGCTGGGGTGCAGTGCTACAGTCTCAACTCACTGTAACTTTTGCCTCTTGGGTTTAAGCAGTTCTCCTTTCTCAGCCTCCCAAATAGCTGGGATTACAAGCACATGGCCACCACGCCTGGCTAATTTTTTGTTTTTAGTAGAGATGGGGTTTCACTGTGTTGGCCAGGCTGGTCTCAAACTCTTGCCCTCGGGTGATTTGCTTTCCTTGCCTTCCCAAAGTGCTGGGATTACAGGTGTGAGCCACTATGCCCCGCCCCCCCTTTTTTTTTCCCATTTTTCTACATATTTTGTTTGTTTGTATTTCTGTAGTCTTCAAATGTAGTCTTGAAATTATAAAGGGCTGGGTGCAGTGGCTCAAGGGCCGGGCACGGTGGCTCACGCCTGTAATCCCAGCACTTTGGGAGGCCCAGGCGGGCAGATCAGGAGGTCAGATAAAAACTAGAAAGAAGCTTTCTGAGAAACTGCTTTGTGATGTGTGCATTCATCTCACAGAGATAAATCTTTTGATTCAGCAGTTTGGAAACCTGGCTAATATGGTGACACCCCATCTCTACTAAAAATACAGAAAATTAGCTGGGTGTGGTGGCACACGCCTGTAATCCCAGCTACTCAGGCTGAGGCAGGAGAATCACTTGAATCGGGGAGGTAGAAGTTACAGTGAGCCAGGATTGTGCCACTGCACTGCAGCCTGGCTATAGAGTGGTACTCCATCTCAAAAAGAAAAAAGAAAAGAAAATTATAAAGTATGATATCCTTCTGCTTTGTTTTTTTTTCTCAAGGTTGCTTTGGCTATTTAAAGTATATCATAGTTTCATTTACATTTTAGAATTACATTTTTTATTACTGTGAAAAATGCCACTGGAATTTTGATAGGGAGTCTATTGAATCTATGTATCATTTTGGATAACATGTCACTTTAACAGTATTTATTCTTTCAATTCATAGACATAAAATATTTTCAAATTTATGTCTTTTCTAATATATTTCACTGATATATCTCTCACTGTAAAGACTTTGTACCTCCTTGGTTAAATTTGTTCTCAGAAATTTATTTTAATGCTATTGTAAATAAGATTTTTTTTTCTCTATTGTATCAGACAGTTTAGATTTATGGAACCCTAACTTGTATGTTAGTTTTATATTTTTCTAATTTACTGAGTGTATTTACAAGTTTTAATGTACTGTTTATGTTTATATATATATATAATCGTATGAGCTACAGCTAGCAACTTTTTACTTATGTGTCTTCAATTTCAATTGCTCTTTTTCATTTTTTTGACTAATTCTTCTGCCAGTACCTTCAGTGTTATGTTAAACTAGCAGCATTGACAATGGGCACAATATAGTTTTGCATTGGCATCTGTGTATAGAAGGAGAAAACAGCTCAAGTTTTTATAAACTGGTTTCAGAAGGTAAAGATCTTCTTTTGTTGGACCTTCAGGGTAATGGGATGCCCTCTGGTTTGTAGTGGACAGGGCTTTGTCACAAGGCTGCTGGGTCTGCACTAGGGTCTACCCTTAGTTGGCTTGTCCTAAAAAACTTGGGTAGTTTAAATTCCCATTTTGGACAGACTGAATTTTGGCAGAGGATTTTGCTCTGTAGGGCAAACACTAGGGCAGGTTTTTGCAGTAGGGTCTGCATATGGTGGGCCTTATATCAGAATGTGGATGACTATGGCTTTCAGCGAGTACCAGAAAGGATCTTTCCAGGTCACTGTGTGGGTTTCTATATAGGCAGAACTGACTATAAACTGTGGCTCAGCGAGCTGGAACTGAGTCATTGAACTGCTTCAGGGACCACAGTAAAGGCTAAGGTCTGTAGGCCAGCTGACATGGCTATAAATGGGTATCTTACTCCGGGCCTCTGGAAAAGCAGAATCTCTCCCAGACTTTGGCTGGGAGGAGTTTGGGATGATTACATAGTAAATTCAGAATTCTAGTGGGACCAAGTTGAGTGGGCCATTTCCTAGTCTGTAGTTAAGAACAGGGATCCTGTAGTTTGCACCTGAATGAGGGCCTGCCTTCTGAAAAGAAAACTTTTAAATCTTGGGCTTTATCAGAATTCCACAGCTCCCTCTCTCTCTGGATCTCAAAGCTCTCAAAGGCACTTATTTTGAGATGGAGTCTTGCTACGTACATAATTCAGGCTGATTTTGAAATCCTAACCTGAAGTAATTCTCTAAACTTAATATACCATGTATCTTTCATTACAGGTGTGAGTCATGATGCCTGGCCATCTCCTAAAGGCGTTTTTGTCAGAGATGGCTGACAAATTGTCTTGCTGTGCAGGAGATAACAAAATAGGTTACCTTTTATTCTCCCATCTTACTGATTTCACTCCTGCTATACATTTTTATTCTCCATTTTCTATTTCAATTTTGTCTGTAATTTTACATTTAGAAATTTAGAACAATATGCTAGAATTTACATGTAATGCCTGAAGTAAATTAGATAATTTGTAGGCACTCCATATTTACTAAAACTTTACTTATAAATTTAGGCTTGATGTAGAAAAAAAGAATTCTATGATTGGCACCCATTTTGTCCAGCCTATATCTAAATAATGTAATTTATTTGCAGATATTTGTTTTATATATCAGACACTCTAACTATATTCTGCAATATATATATTTTTATATATTTAACATTTATATATTTAGCATTATATGTATTTATATATGTGAGTGTGTATATATATATATATATATATATAGCAATGTAAGGCTATTTTTTTGCTTCTAAAGTTGGATTACAGCAGTTTCATTTTGTGTAACAATAGCATATATTTAAAACATAAAATTTCTTTTTTTTTTTTTTTTTTGAGACAGAGTCTCACTCTGTCGCCCAGCCTGAAGTTCAGTGGTACAATCTCTGCTCACTGCAACCTCCACCTCCCAGGTTCAAGCGATTCTCCTGTCTCAGTCTCCTGAGTAGCTGGGACTATAGGCACACACCACCATGCCCGGCTCATTTTTGTACTTTTAGTAGAGACGGGGTTTCACCATGTTGGCCAGGCTGGTCTTGAACTCCTGACCTTGTGATCCATCCATCTGCCTCGGCCTCCCAAAGTTCTGATACAGATGTGAGCCACTGAGCCTGGCCCAAAATTGTCTTTTTTTTTTTTTTTGAGATGGAGTTTTGCTCCTGTTGCCCGGGCTGGAGTGCGATGGTGCAATCTCGACTCACTCCAACCTCTGCCTACCGGGTTTAAGCAATTCTCCTGCCTCAGCCTTCTAAATAGTTGGAATTACAGGCGCCCACCACCACACCTGGCTAATTTTTGTATTTTTAGTAGAGGCAGGGTTTTACAACGGTGGCCAGGCTGGTCTTAAACTTCTGAGTTCGGGTGGTCCACCTGCCTTGGCCTCCCAAAGTGCTGGGATTACAGGCGTGAGCCACTGCACCTGGCCTTCTTGTGTTTTTAAATGCTTATTTATTAAGTTTCTCATTAGAGTCTTTCATTTATGATAATACTGCATTTCCTTTGGAATTGTACTGCCATACAGTGCATGTCAAGGATTCAGCATACCTGCCTTCCATGAGTAGAGTTACAATCAAATGTTGCAGTTATCTGAACACATTATTATTTTTTAATTTATTTATTTTTCTTTTTCTGAGACGGAGTCTTGCTGTGTTGGCCAGGCTGGAGTGCAGTGGCACGATCTCAGCTCACTGCAACCTCCACCTCCCAGGTTCAAGAAATTCTCCTGCCTCCGCCTCCTGAGTATCTAGGATTATAGGTGTGCACCACCATGCCTGGCTAATTTTTTTGTATTTTTAGTAGAGACAGGGTTTCACCGTGTTGCCCAGGCTGCTCTCGAACCTCTGAGCTTGTGATCCGCCTCCCAGAGTGGTGGGATTACAGGCGTGAGCCACTGTGTCTGGCCTAGACACATTTTTAATGCTACATCAGTGTTGCCTGCAAGATTTTATGAGTAAACATTTAACATTTATATATATTATGGTTTTGCCATTCCATATTAGTGTGTTTTTTCAGTTTGACATCTGTTTATTGTGTTTTTTTGTTTTACCATTTTAGACAATTTGCAATTGTTTGTACACTTTAAATCTATGGGATTTAATTAAGAAATAAATCAGCCATATATCTATCCCAGTCAGATTATATGTGTGTGTTAATAAATTTGACCCCAATTTTGGTTATGGCTTATCTTGTGTGTATTCTTTCTTATGTGATTTTCAATGGTCGTTTTATCTTGTCTAAGTGATTAGTCATGGAGATAGTCTTTTTTTTTTTTTTTTTTTTTTGAGATGGAGTTTCACTCTTGTTGCCCAGGCTGGAGTGCAATGGTATGATCTCCACCCACCACAACCTCTGCCTCCCAGGTTCAAGTGATTCTCCTGCTTCAGTCTCCCGAGCAGCTGGGATTACAGGCATGCGCCACCACACCCAGCTAATTTTTGTATTTTTAGTAGAGACGAGGTTTCTCCCTGTGGTAGACTGGTCTCCAACTCCTGACCTCAGGCAATCCACCTGCCTCCCAGAGTACTGGGATTACAAGGCGTGAGCCA